TATATATATATATATATATATATATATATATATATATAAACTGATGACACTTTGCATATTCTGAAATTAGTTGTATTTTTTTTTTTTTGCAAGAAATCAACCACTCTCAAAATCTATAATCTATTGTATCAGCATTAAGGCCCCAGCACAAAGCAATCTCTGACCAATGCAAGGGTAAGAAACCCCTTCCCAGATCCCGCGCTAGAGAGAATCACATGCATTAGATACACCCCTTTTATTAAATAGCTTAGTAAACAATCTTTTTTTTTTTGCAAGAAATCAACCACTCTCAAAATCTATAATCTATTGTATCAGCATTAACGCCCCAGCACAAAGCAATCTCTGACCAATGCAAGGGTAAGAAACCCCTTCCCAGATCCCGCGCTAGAGAGAATCACATGCATTAGATACACCCCTTTTATTAAATAGCTTAGTAAACAATCATGCGGCAAAGAGCGAAAGTAATCATTGCTCTTAGTCACATGAATAGTAACAAAAATCAAGTGGATCTCTCGTTCACAGTTTTACCATAACTTTTTTTGCACAGTACTTTATAACAAAAAAGGTTGGCATCGAAAGAATGCAGTGCCTACAAAAATTCATAAGCGCTCATTTAAGTGAAGATTACTACAGGCTAAATATGTGCATTTTCTCGAGAAGAAAAAGATAAAAATCTACTAATTTATCTAAAGATGATGTTAAAACAATTTAGCAAGGAGCAACCACAACAGCATAGGAGAGCTTTCTCAGTATTAATTGAAGGTTATATACACTTAAAAAGAGTAAGCCAAAACATTTTGTTAGACCGGTCCACTGCACCAATCCAGCCGGTCCATACAAAACAGTCTTACGGACGAAACAAGCAGAAGTTCCACCTCCTTGACGTGCCGAATGAGCCACCGATTCCAGAAAAGCTGTTTAGGAAAGATTTTTGAGGAAGTTTGGAGGGAAATTTGAATGTAGGGACTGTTTAGAGATTTCATTTTGAATTGTATTCATTAAACAGTGTATTCATTATATAGTTTGTTTTCTAGGGTTAGCTAGGCCATCTTAAATTTGGCTGAAATTTGAAATCTCTTAGGTTTAGATTTTTGGGCTCTAGCGGGGTCTAGAGATTTGGGAGAGAGAGAGAGAGCCTCCTCTCGAATAGAGGATCAATTGTATCTTTTTATATTTTGTTTCTATTTCATCAAATAATACAAATTATCTACTGTTTTCCTGGTTTTGTGCGGATTTTTGTGAAGAATTCTCGCTGTTTTCCAAAGATTGCTAGGACATTCTTGAGATTTTCAAGTTTTTCCTATCACATTTCTTGTCACGCAACAACACTTTCTATCCTGTAAATGAGCATAGCCACTGTAAAAGAAAAAAAATTTACAAATTTTAACATTAATTTCCTTGAATGGCATAGTTTATACCTGACCAACAGAACCAAATCGGTACATAGCGTTTTCTCCTTTTCCATCTGGATTTGGAGCTGACCAATAGGAATCAAAAGAAACACCACTCACCTGTTTGTTAGCCTATTATTAGGAAAAAATCTTAAAAAGTTGGTAAAACTGAAGAACTGATTAAAAACTCACCCATGAATTATGCCCCTCACCCCATGCCACTATCTTCCGCTCTTCCATACTCCACACTTGTACTAGATCATCTTCACCGCCAGTTAATATGTATTTACCATCAGGACTAGAATAGCAAACAGAAGTATAAAAATGATAAGGTTAATTACAAATGTTGCTTGGAGAAGGCATATTAGAAGACAAAAGGAATCCGAAATTGGTCCATGAAATATGGATTGCTCATTTACACTGAACTTTTTTCTCAAAAAAGATAAATGAAGATATCATATGAGATTAGAGAAAGAGCCAAAGGATTAATGACTGATAATGTAAATTGGGTTACATATCTTATTGCAATGAGCACAATCCAACCACGTATATTGGTGGATCAAATACATTTTAACAAGTACATGTCACCATCACAATCATTACTATTAGCCTTATCTAACTATTTGGGATCAATTTTAATAATCCTCATTCTTCATTCATAATTGTTCTGTGCCACTTGAGATGTAAAATTTATTTTGCAAAAATCCCTCAGCGCAATTTTCATCATTTACCTTAGGCCCACCTCCCTTCCCTTCCCAATCAGCCCTTACTAATTTCATATACCCTTACTCATGGACCTTGTACCCTTCATTATGCATGCCCTAAACTAAGTGACACTATTTTTCACATTCCTGCCCTTCTTGATTTTGCCATAAAATAATCTTAACATTCTCAATTACATCAAACTCAACTTGGCTATCAATAGGGTCACTACTCAGGACCAGGGTCCGCATAATATAAATAGTATAATGCTACTATTATAAGATTTGTCATTATTTTCATAATTTTCTATTATTGCATAATTCCTCCAAGGTTTCTTAATATTAACAAAAAAAGTATTTTATATATATATATATATATATATATTCATTTTATTGTATGAAATATATAAGATATTAAACCTATCATACCAAAGCATCATGTTATTATCTAGCACTATGAACTAACAATTATCAATTTCAAAACCACTAAAATTGCAAATCATACACACAATCTTTTTGTTACTAATCCTAAACTCATTATCTCCTAAACATCTCCTCGAATGTTCCAAGTTTAAATTAGTTTCAACAGATAGAACTGTCATTTATAAGTAGCATGCACCATTCAACCTCATCATCAATTCATCATATACACAATCAATAGGAAAAGATGTGGACTTATATCGATGCTTGATGCAGCCTTACAACATCAATGAACTCTTTGATTGCAACAAGAATAATACTAATCGATGATTCATCAAACATATATTTACTAAACTCAATACACCCTCAAAGCATTGTCTATGCACAAAAATCACCTCTTCAATGGATCTTTCTAGTAGAAGTTCAAAATATTCATCCAACATCAATGTGATCTTCTAACCTATGCCCAATTACCCAATCCCATAATTTCAATGCATTGCAAACTTTATTCTCCTAACTATCAAAGTTCTGTCCATCTCATTTGTTATTAAATATTTGCACAGAAACTTTGTTTCTCCTCTCATTTGACATCCTTAGTGATGATTCACAAACCAAACTACTCAAGCATCTCCCTATACAAATCTTACGAGGTATTACATTGAGACATAAATCATTATCTTTAAGCATCTTCTTAAGAGTTAACTTCATTTTTAGCCTTTTAGGATTAAATTATAATATACTAATGACTCCATTCAATATATTCTTATAAAAGCTTATCTTCAAAACTTTTCTTTTATTTTTCCTTTGATGTTCCAAATTTTAATTAGAACCCTATTATCTTCACTTCCATTACATCTAAGTTAATAAAGGCCTTTAGATCTCCAATCTTTTATCTTAGGTGCTATATATATCTCATTTTCTCGTTCTTCGGTGTCTACCTTATGACATAAATATTAAAAATATGTGCCCTTTACTTAGCTAAACGCACATTTTTTGAAAGGGTTATGAAATCCCTCTAACATTATAAAGATTAATAGAACTTATTCTTTCCACTTTTAAAGGCCACATTTATTTTCATTAATAACTTTGTGTACCTACTCACTCCACCTCCAAAACTTTTTAGTAATATGTGATATATTTCTAAACCTAAAATTTCTACAATAATCTTCGTAATGAACCATCTAACATAAAGATTGAATGTTTGATTCAACTATATAATTCCAACTTTTCTCTCTTAATAAGATTGTTAGAAATCAAAGGTTTGAGAAGAAAAGCTTAAATTTTATTATGCAACATACTCCCTATTTATAGATCCATACAAGATGCATTGATAAAAAAACAAATAAATCTAAATAATTACAAAATAATGAGTAATACAATCCTTCCTAAGTTAGCTACCAAGCTATGAAGGAATTTAATATGATCCAAGCGGTCTTCCCATGGATTACTGTTCATAGTCGTGGGATCATCTTTGAAACGAGAGGTTGGGATTTACCACTCACCCTCAAGCTGGGGAATATAGATCTGTCATTCCCAGCTTAGCAATCATTATGATAAAGGCAGAGCTGTCCAATCCTTTGGTAAGGATGTCTACAAGTTAATCTTTCGACGATACATAATTGATACATACCAAACCACTGTCTAGTTTTTTCTTTAATAAAATGTTTGTCCACTTCTATGTGCTTAGTTCTGTCATGTTGACTGGATTGTGGGCTATGTTGATTGCTGATTTGTTGTCACAATGTAGCTTCATGGGGTCATCTCATTAAGTCTTCCAGAATTATTTTGATTCATAGTAACTCACATATTCCCAATGTCATAGCTCTATATTCTGCTTTTGCACTAGATCTTGCCACCACAATTTGTCTTTTGCTTCTCCATGTAACTAGGTTCCCTCCAAGAAATGTGCATTATCCAGAGGTAGATCTTCTATCTACGGGTGATCCCGCATAATCAGCATCCGAATATTCTTCTAGGATTATTCAGTGATCTCTTCTAAAGAAAATCAGTTTCCCTGGATTTCCTTTAAGGCAGTGCAGTATCATGTCTACAGCTTGCATGTGAACCTGCTTTCGATTCTACATAAACTGACTGACCATGCTTACAGCAAATGCTATATCTGGACTGGTATGGGAAAGGTTAGGGGTGTCAATTTTTTACACGACCCGAAACCCGACCCGGACCCGACCTGAAAAAATCCGGGTTGACTCGAAAAGGGTTGAGTTCGGGATCAACAAATCGACACATTTAAAAAAAAAAATCAGGTTCGGGTTGACCCAGCAACCTGAAATTGACCCGAAATTGATAATGAAAACTCATTTTCGACCCTAAAATCGAGATTGACCCATTTTGACCCAAAAATTGAAGATTGTCCTGATTTTTTACCCGAAAACTAGCAATTTTGGGTCAATCCCGGGTCATTCGTGTCGGGTCAGGTTGACCCGGACCAAATCGTGTCGGGTTCAGGTTCAAAAATCTGACCCATTTTTAAAAACATGTCAGGTTAGGGTTTACTCGAATAGTGCCGGGTCAGTTCCGGGTTCGACCGAACCCGACCCGTGAACAAAAATTGACACCCCTAGAAAAGCTAAATCAATTTCCATACAAGTCTCTGGTAGGCCCCTTTATCTATATCTAGATCTTCTCTAGCTTCCCCCATTTTACGATTAGGTTCTACTGGTGTTCATGCTGGTTTCAAGCTAGTTTACATGTTTCTTTTAGAAGATCTTTGATATATTTCTGTTGTGAAATGAATATTCCTTTGCTGGAGTGGGCTACTTCAATTCCGAGAAAATATTTTAATCTACCAAGTTCTTTTATTTCAAATTCCTTGGTAAGACTTTTTCTTAAACTAACTTTCTCCTCTTCATTATTCCTAGTCAAGATAATATCATCCACATATACTAATAATATTGTGACTCCCCATGAGTTTGAGTGTTTAAAGAATAATGTATGATCCTCTTGACTTTGTTTATACCCATTAAGAAGCATGAATTTTAAGAATCTTCCGAACCAGATCCTTGGCGATTGTTTGAGCCCATATAGAGCCTGTTTTAATCTGCACACCCTGTTACCTTCATATTTTTCCTTAAACCCTGGTGGAATTTTCATAAATATCTCCTTCCATATCCCCATGTAGGAATGCATTTTTCACATCCAATTATTCTAGATGCCTGTTGTACTTGACCTCTAATGAGAGTAACATTCTGACAGTGTTCATCTTGGCTATAGGTGTAAAAGTTTCTTGGTAGCCAATGTCATATGTTTGAGTATACCCTTTTGCCACTAGTCTTGTCTTATATCTTTCTAGTGTGCAATCAACTTTATACTTTAAGGAGAATTGATAGGAAACACTTGAAGATCTCAAGTCTTTTCTATCAATCTTCGAAAAACAACGAGCTTTCTCCACAATAATCCGCACAAAATCACAAAAAAATAGTTGATAATTTGTATTATTTGATGAAAGGAAAACGAAAAATAGCAAGCTACAATTGATCCTCTATTCGAGAAGAGGATCGATCTCTCCTAAATCTCTAGATGCCGCTAGAGCCCAAAGAAAACCCTAATCTAATAGATATCAAATTTCAGCCAAATTCAAGATGCCCTAACCCTAGTAAAACCAACTATTTAATGCATGCAAATCAAAAGGAAATCCCTAAACAGTCCCAACATTCAAATTTCCCTCTCAAAACCCTCAAAAAAACTTCCTAAACAACTCTGTTTGGACGGTCGGGAAGCCCGATCTCCGCAGGAGGCGGAGATCCCGCGTCAATTGCGAAATGTCAGTCCCGTGCGGACCGGCTGGACTGGTCCAGTGGACCGGTCTAACAATACTTCCCTCCCAAAGATTCACCTTATCCTCAAGGTGAAAATATGCTTGTGTTCCCGTGGATGTGGCCATCCTTAAGGTGGCTGAAAAACCTTACCAACTTGATGAATTAAGGGTTGCACTGAAAGAGAAACATCCCCTCCCTCCTCCAATCTGATCGCATCCAACTTGTGTAGTCCACCAGATAATCTTCCCCCACCTCTTGTATGTCCCTAACCATGGTCTTAAGTGATGTCATGGCTTTGGATAGCCCCGCATCTCCCCTTATAACCACCTTTCTCCCATCCACCATTAATTCCATCGTGAGTGCTCCCCAATTGTCCTTGGGTTCCCCCAAGGTTTGCAACC